CCAGCGCTCTTCCCATGGCACACGAGGCTGCTGGGAGGAGTTAAAATCCCATTAAAGTGCAAAATTCCTGCTTTTTATGGAGTTTTTGGGAGTCTGGGCTCACCTTCCACRTCAGTAAATCAAGGGAATCGACTCTAAAGGATGTTGGAATTCCAGGCTGGTTTGGTTTGGAACGATCCCAAAATCACCCAAAAGCACCCAGACTGTGGGCAGGGACAAAATTCCCACATGGAGCTGGGTTGGAATGATCCCAAAACCACCCAAAATCACCCAAAAGCACCCAGACTGGGAGCAGGGACAAAATTCCCACATGGAGCTGGGTTGGAATGATCCCAAAATCACCCCAAAATCACCCAAAATCACCCAAAATGTGGGCAGGGACAATTCCCACCGGAGCTGGCTGCTCCAGGATTTAGGACCATTTAAGGATCCCGTGGGATTTATTGGGATCATCCAGCCCCGATGTGGGAAAAATCCCTGGAAAAATCATTGGAAAACCCCTGGAAAATCCCTGGGAAATCCCTGGAAAATCCCTGGAAAATGCCAGGAAAATCCCTGGAAAATCCCTGGAAAATCACTGAAAATCCCTGGAAATCCCTGGAAAATCACTGAAAATCCCTGGAAAATCCCTAGAAAATCCCTAGAAAATCACTGAAAATCCTGGAAAATCCCTGAAAAACCCTGGAAAACCCTTGGAAAATCCCTGGAAATCCTGGAAAATCACTGGAAAATGCCTGGAAAACCCTGGAAAATCCCTAAAAAATCACTGAAAATCACTGAAAATCCCTGAAAAGTGCCTGGAAATCCCTAGAAAATCACTGAAAATCCCTGGAAAACCCCTGGAAAATCCCTGGAAAACCCTGAAAATCCTGGAAAATCCCTGGAAAATCTGGAAATCCTGGAAAATGCCTGGAAAATCACCTGTGAACTGGGAGCTGAGCACCTGAGGGTTGTGCAGAATGTCCTTCCAGAGCTGCTCAAACTCCGGGATCCGCGCCACGTTCTGCAACAGCCGCACCAGATCCCGGCCGATCATGAAACAGTCCATGAACTGGGGAAATGGAAAAAAAAATATCTGTGAATTGGGAAAATGGGAGAGGAAACAGTTCATGAACTGGGGAAAAGGGAAAAAAAATATCTGTGAGCTGGGAAAATGGAAAAAAAAATATCTGTGAGCTGGGAAAAAAGAAAAAAAATTATCTGTGAACTGGGAAAGTGGGAGAGGAACAGTCCATGAACAGGGAAAATGGAAAAAAAAAATCTGTGAATTGGGAAAATGGGAGAGGAAATGATCTGTGAACTGGGAAAATGGATGGGGAACAGTCCATGAACTGGGGAAAATGGGAGAAAAAAATATCTGTGAACTGGGGAAAAGGAGAGAGGAAACCATCCATGAACTGGGAAAATGGGAATGGAACAGTCCATGAACTGGGAAAATGGGAGGGAAACCATCCATGAACTGGGAAAGTGGGAAAGTAAATCCCAGTCGGGCCCTGGTCCTGTGTCCTGTCCCGTGTCCCGTGTCCCACCCCAGCCGGTGACAGGTTGGGATCAGCAAAGCTCATTCTGGAGCTATTTCAGACCGTTCCTCCTCCCAAAGCAAACAACGCGCCCGTAAATCTGCCACTTTCACCCCAGAATGGCGGGGCCAGGCCACGGGGGAGGATTTGGGATAAATCCCAGCTCTGGGGTTCTCCTGCTCTGTCCAGAGCCAAACGTGGCCTGGAGCTNCCTGTCCCGTGTCCCGTGTCCCACCCCAGCCGGTGACAGGTTGGGATCAGCAAAGCTCATTCTGGAGCTATTTCAGACCGCTCCTCCTCCCAAAGCAAACAACGCGCCCGTAAATCTGCCGCTTTCACCCCAGACCATGGGGCCGGGCCATGGGGGAGGATTTGGGATAAATCACAGCTCTGGGGGAGCATTGGGAACGGGAGGATTTGGGATAAATTCCATCGGGAACAGGAGGATTTGGGATAAATCCCAGCTCTGGGGTTCTCCTGCTCCGTGCACAGCCTGGAGCTGCTGCCAGACCCCAAACCCAAACTGCCCCTGCCAGGGATGGATTCCCAGGGGAACAGGGATTCAGCAGGAACAGCAATTCCCGGGAATTCACCCATTCCCAGAATAGGGAGGTGGGGATCCCATTGCCAGAGCAGGGAGGTGCAAGAATCCCAACCTATCCCATGGATCCCATCCCATCCCATCCCAATCTCACCCCACAGACCCCTCTCACCCGTTCCCGGAGCAGGGAGATGCAGAACTCCATCCATTCCCATCCCATAGATCCCCACAAACCCCACAAATCCCATCCCACTCACCCGTTCCCGGAGCAGGGAGATGCAGAACTCCACCCCACAGATCCCACAGACCCCACAAATCCCATAAATCCCCTCCTCTCTCACCCGTTCCCGCAGCAGGGAGATGCAGAACTCCACCCCACAGACCCCACAAACCCCACAGACCCCATAAACCCCACAGACCCCATAAATCCCCACAGACCCCACTCACCCGTTCCCGGAGCAGGGAGATGCAGAACTCCACCCCACAGACCCCACAGACCCCACAAATCCCATCCCACTCACCCGTTCCCTGAGCAGGGAGATGCAGGATCCCATCCCATCCCATCCCATAGATCCCATCAATCCCAATCCCATAGATCCCCACCCCACTCACCCGTTCCCTGAGCAGGGAGATGCAGAACTCCATCCATTCACATCCCATCAATCCCAATCCCACCCCACAGACCCCACAAACCCCACAAACCCCATAAACACCACCCCACTCACCCGTTCCCGCAGCAGGGAGATGCAGAACTCCATCCCATCCCATCAATCCCAATCCCATCCCATAGATCCCATCAATCCCATTCCTACCCCACAGACCCCACTCACCCGTTCCCGGAGCAGGGAGATGCAGAACTCCATCCATTCCCATCCATTCCCATCCCATAGATCCCCACAAACCCCACAAACCCCACTCACCCGTTCCCGCAGCAGGGAGATGCAGAACTCCACCCCACAGACCCCCCAAATCCCATAAACCCCACAAACCCCACTCACCCGTTCCCGGAGCAGGGAGATGCAGAACTCCACCTCTTTCTGGCGCAGCGCCTGCAGCGCGGCCGTGCCGTGGTGATCCACGATCAGCCGCAGGTACGTGTACACGGCCATGGCCACCAGCAGGCTGCTCTTCAGCACCCACTCCCTGAAAATCAACCCCAAAACAGCCCTGAGTGTGCCCCAAAACAGCCCTGAGCCAGCCTTGAGTGTGCCCCAAACGGCCCCAAAACAGCCCTGAGTGTGCCCCAAATCAACCCCAGAACAGCCCTGAATCAGCCCTGAGTGTGCCCCAAAACAGCCCCGAGTGTGCCCCAAAATAGCCCCAAATCAGCCCTGAGTCAGCCCTGAGTGTGCCCCAAATCAACCCCAAAACAGCCCCAAATCAGCTCTGGGTGTGCCCCAAAACAGCCCTGAGAGTGCCCCAAAACAGCCCCAAAACAGCCCTGAGTGTGCCCCAAAACAGCCCTGAGTGTGCCCCAAATCAGCTCCAAGTGTACCCCAAATGAACCCCAAAACAGCCCTGAATCTGCCCTGAGTGTGCCCCAAATCAGCCCCGAGTGTGCCCCAAATGAACCCCAAAACAGCCCTGAATCTGCCCTGAGTG